CAGCTTCGACAGCTTGAACGAGACCGCAGGCAGCCCCATTCCGCCGTTTATGAGCGTCAACACGAGAGAGAAAGGAAGCCCAGCAATACCGACCCTCCACGGGCTTCTCACAGAAGGCTGCAAGTGTCTCCTGTGTCAACCGGCGACCGTATAGCAAAGCTCCACAAGGCCCATCAACAAAGACCTGCACTCATGCGCAAGCGGTGGTCCATATGCAGCAATTCTACTTTTCGTATTCGCAGGCAGCGCAAATCTGCTCCTGGCGCTCCTAAGGCAGATTTCGCTGAGAAAACCGCTACGAAATGTCTTCTTCCGTTGCGGTAGTGTGCAAAGGGGGTTTCGAATGTGCATGTTGGGTTACGGTGGAGCGTAGGTTGCTTTTGTGGGTCCGTGTATCTTTCTTCCCCTACCTGGAGCTCTTCTTGGAGGCTGCAGCAGCTGTTGGCGTCAGAGCGGTAGCTCAGCGGGTCAAAGCAGGCCCCGCGCAAGGTGTTTACACCGGGCGGAAGAGGCAGGTGCACCGGAGCCGCCTCTCCAAATGAGTAATCCACCGAGGCATAAGAAGGAGGCCCTGGTCTTCTTCCGTCTCTGTCGAGGATGTGCGGTAGGTCAACTGCCTGAGACGACGGTATAGGCAGCCCAGCAGCGGCAAAGACAGCTTTGGAGTGAGATGCTGGAGAGTAGGACCCAAATCCGCCCTCCCAGTGGGCTATTGGCAGCCTTCGTTGTTCGGTGCTTTCTATGGCGAAGGTGAAGGGGCGTGAGCTGAGGGCCATGGCAGCTGAGACAAGAGACTTGTCGGTGGGGTCTATGAGCGTCACTCCTCGCTGTATAAACTGCTGTTTCAAGGCCGACAGAAAGCGCTCCGGAAGATCGTCAGTAAGCAAACTTGAAAATGGCACCGCTGTTCTAGTCCATAGAACACCAGCATCGATCAACAAAGGTAAGGACGACAATGGAGACCCCGAAACAGCCTGGAGCCGTCGTCGGTTATCTGCGGAGGCACACATGTACATCCGTAGGAAGTATGATGTGTTTCTCAAGGCATGTTGCAGTGAGGAACATTTGAGGGCAGATTTCAAATGTCACAGATACACACGCTGGATCGGTCAAAGACAAGTGTAGGCGTCAGGGGGCGGTCCTTTTTGCAAGTCAGCAGAAGGCAAAACAAGTTTTTGGAGTCTCTGCGAGGTCCTGAGCACCTTCGAATCGTGGATTACGTACCG